AGGTGGAGGACACTTTCAACAACTTGTCTAGTTTCTATGCTCTACTTTTTTTCAAAAAGGTTGTTATTTATTTTGTAACAGCAAATTTTGTTGAAAATTGTTAATAGTAGGGAGTATTTATTTTATTCTTTATCTTGTTACGATGTTATATTACTTCACTATGATCCTTGTATTTCATTTTCTCAAGCAGTAGTTCCAGATTTTGGGAGCATTTTTTTCATTTTGCACAGATTGAGCAACACGTATGTTTTAGATTCTGTTGATGAAAATCCTGAACTAGAAAAATTGGAAATGATCTGAATATCCCGCACGTTTTAATTTTGAAAATTTAGCACGATTTTCTATTGCGTCCATCTCATATTCAACGGCTCCAAGAGTTACTTCCCAGAGATTTGCCCTTGCGTGTTAATTTTTGTCGATGGTTATCCCCTGTTTGATCAGAATCAGATCGGATAAAAAATTTCCACAATAAGCCGATGAAAAACCGCAATGTAGTTGCAGAATTTAAGCATCAAGAACCATATTTACCATATTTAATTAGCTGCTGACTTTAGTGTTGTAGTAAGAGAATATTTAAATCACACATGGCGGACCTCAACCATGGCCCCCTGGGTCCCCAGATTTAAATAGTTTGCACTTTTTCTTATGGAGCATTTTAAAAGTCTGGTTTATCGCGGTTTACACTGTAGAAGAGCTGAAGAAACGTATAAGAGCTTCCTGCGATTTAATAAGAAACACTGGAGGTATACTTCAAAGAATGCGCGGTAACAGGAAGAAAAGAGCTGAAGGGTGTATCCTTCAAAGTGTAGTCGCTTATTAAGGGTAGTCTGATTCATGGTGCAGAGACGTGGCGACACGAAGAAAGCAGTCGAAGAGAGCAGGAAGCATCAGAAATGGATGTATTCGGAAGATCACTAGGAATATTCAGAAGAGAAAGAAATCGAAACGTAGGCATTGGAAGAAAGCACCTCGTATGATATGATCGAGCGAGACTACCACAAAACTAGTTGTGGAGTGGTTACCACAAAACCGTACAAAACCTGGAAGACCAAAGAAACCTGGAAAGAAGGAGTGTCCGATATTTGAGAGAGTGGCAATGGAGTGAAAGAAATAGGCGTCGGACAACGTATTACTTTTCAGCCGTTTCTAGCATAAGCAAACAAATTCCTTGGTGACATTCCTACGCCCTATTCTTCGTTAACTCATCCTCGATAACCTGTCGATTAGTTGAAGTGCTCAATTGTAGCGTCGAGTGCATTGCAAACGACGCGTTATCCAAGGAAAAACAAACATTTACACTTACTACGTCATCTATCGCGCTTTTAGCGTATGGCGAACAAATACGGGGTGTCAATTTTTTCCTGAAGTTATAAAAACCATTTTACAGCGATACAGATTAAGAAATTTATTTCAAACGGAATGTTCGAAATTCGTTTCAAAGCCTGATTCTAAAAATGTTTTCAAACAAAAAAGAACCAAAACAACTCATCCATTTCGCATGGTATTTTTAGAATTGCATTGCATAATATTTCGCTCATCGTTTCTTCCAAGTAACACAATTTTGATTTAAAATAAAGAACACAAAACAAATACCAAGAAAACTGCACGATTTGGGGTGATGGAAATCATAGAGCTCACACTTAGTTTATTAAATGTACCATCTTCCTTTGGAGTTAAATAGTTGTACATATATGTTTGGGCAGGTATACTTCGACCAGAAATATAGTACTTTTAAAACCGACCCCGTGATTAACTTTGCCTACTCTTTATTACTTGAAAACCGCAGCCCCTTATAGAATATACTGCCGAGCAGAACCTTAGCAGTAACCATTCCAGGGCCGTCCTAGGAATTTATCTACCTAGACTAACAAGCTTGATATAAGTATGTTTTCGATCTTTTTCGCCGAGCAATTCTTGAAACATGTACATAGAAAAATTTGTACAAAGTGACAATTTATTAGGTTCCATTTCATTGCATTTCTACATAGTATCATAATTAATATACAAAACATTAAATATAATAATAATACAGTATCGGCCCCTTAAAAAATCGTCAATATCGCTACTGTCGTCACATAGTTCAAAGATCAACTCTAACTACTAACTAATCGCTCTCGATTAATATTTTCATCTTTTATTATTCGTTTTTTCCAGTTAGACCAGTTTTACAATGATATTTTAGCTACCTCTTGGCGAATTACGTTTATGGTACTATCACTAAATTTTGGTGCAATGTTATTTCTTCTTATATGCGCTTTCAACTCAGACCAAATCATCTCAATCGGGTTAAATACACAAGATTTCAAAAAATCCATTTTCTTAAAAAAACGTACGCAACGATTCTTTGACATGTCTAATTTTCAAGTCTCTCGGTACTTTTTTATGCAGTTCTGCTAGGGTTAAAAAAACGCGATTCACTTTATAAGCGTCGTAGATTATATGCCAGTTAAGGTTTTCGAACGAAGGATCTCGTTTTTAAAAAACACCTTTTCGTTTTACAAACAGAACTACGAGGTTTTATTTAACCCGTTACAAGGAGAACTGGGCGCAAAGTACAAAGTTGTCATATTTATAAAGTTTTTATGCAAGCGTCGCGTCGCAGATACTTGGAATACTGAAGATAGCACTTCATCAGCATATTCTGTCACATAATTCCTCCCTCCGAAGTGGAAAACAACAGGGACGAAGGGTTGTTTTCGGAAGACTGGTCGTTCTTGGTTTTCTTGGAATCTTGCAGCAAATGGCTCTTGTAGATTTTCCATGCTATAACTATTAACAAGATTAAAATAAACATCATTCCTGTTGAAGTGGCGAGCCTCCAAGTGACTGGATGAATTTCATAACCAATGTCGGGGATCGATGATTTCGCAGCTTCTCGTAGTTTTTTGATCGTATTGAGATCAATCGATTGTAGTTGGAGTGGCTGGTACTTCACATCGTGATGTTCCATATTTTCAATTTTAATGGGTGGCAGTGAGAATGGGTTTGCTTTAAAAATTTCTTCTTTATTCCAAAGCTCGGTATTTTGGGTACTTATACCGCAATTATATGGAACATTGATTAGGCAGGCTTCTTCAAAAAAAGCTATTTCTTTGTTTCGACAATTCATTTGTAATTTAAGTTTCTGTTCCGACGGTATTATCAAAACAAATCTACCAGTGATTGGTCGTATTATATGCGTCGAAACATTTACATTGACTACGTGGCAATTCTTGTTTTCGGCATATTTAATGAGGGTTGTCACACAATCACCGATGGGCTGGGTAAGTCGATTTTCGCAAACGTAGGTGTCTTCGATGATTGGGCGGATTGATTCTTGACATTGTTGCATGTCAGTGCCCAATATTAGGTAGGGTGAATTAGGTATAATTAAGAAGTGATTCACAGGTACTGGGAACAAGTGGAATTTTTCAAAAATATCTTTAAGAAAAATCGGAACATGGACGGCAAAAATTATTTTATCTTTTGTAAATTTAACTTGTAAGTTTGCTAACTGATAATAATTATTTTGATTTTCAAAAATTAGAATTTGATCATCACCATAGAGAACAGTCAATTTAAAAATTATTGTTCTAATTCAGCCGCCGATATTACTACAGGATGTAATGTGTTTAATTTCGCAAATGTAATGGCATTTTCTAAATTATCCAAAAAAGTTATAAAACTTTGGCAATTTAGAATTATTTGAATTAGTGTATTTTGAGCTTTAATGAAAGTAGTTATGTCAGTAATAGTTTTATTTGAATTATATTCAAAAATGTCTATATGTTTTTTAATAGCTTCTTGATTTTTCTGTAGAAGTGTTATCGTATCATTATAGTTGTCAATCAGCTGTTGAATCAACGAGGTTTGCTTTTTTAGTTGGATGTCAGATGAATGCTTACTACGCACAAGTTCTGTGATAATTTTATCGTATTTTTGTCCATCCTCTGAATCGAGAGTGCCAAAAAGCCATTTCGATAAGACCCTGAAAATTTTTCTTTTAGAGAGTAAATTATTAACCTCAAATAGAAATTCGTACAAACAATAGCTAATCCGTTCAAACAGTGTTATAGGCCTCGCCCTTAATCTAGACGCGATGACGTCATTTAATATTAGCACGTATTGCATGGTTTCAGAATACAAGTAGTTTTTTGAAAACCATTTACATCCTCTATTTCCAACATTGTTGGTTTTACATACAGGGTACGTCGTTTGTCGGCAAAAAATTCTAATATATCCTAGACATTTCCGCTTTTGTGGGTGAATTTTTGGCGATACATGAAAACCGAGATATTTGAAAAAATATTATTTTAAATTGCAATTACCAGTACAAATTTTAATATTTACCGAAGTGTACCGTAACTTTGAAGTTCGACGAGATGTGAAGGACACTTTATACAGAGTGTATTTACAAAGAAATTACATCGATTTTGCGAAAGTTTCGTAGTGGTCTGCAGGAGCACAATAGAAAAACAATGCGTCCCTCTAGGACAAGAAACCACGAAGCGCCTTCTTTTTAAAATAAAACGGTGGTTCGCGCTATTTGCTACGAACTTGCCCCCCTCACCTCACCTTTCTTGAAAACCAGATCAAAGACCTTTTTAACGATTTAACCCTGGGTCACCATGAATAACAATCTACCCTTTATTTGAAACAACTAATCGCCCGCCTCAGTTTTCGTATATACTTGAAACACCCTGTATACTGCTAGATTATATTACTTTATAAATCGATGGGTTGTTTTTTTTGTGCGTAAGAACACTCGCGTTCATAAAATCCCAACGCGAGGCCCTTGCTCTTGCGATGTTTACCCTCCGGAAGGGATTAGGGTTAATCCGATGGGTCGCGTGACTGAAAAGGTGGGGGGGGGGGGGCAACGCAGGCATCCGCGAGTAACGTCTTTGTTTCAAGTCCACTGACATTCAATTATTCTGGGCAATAGCCCGGCATAATGGCAGATTGATATCCGACTACGCGTTCCGGAATAAGATACTTCTGAACTGGGAAATTCGTTTCAGGTCATCCGAGGTTCTTCAATCAGCTGTCGTGCGGTTTGGACTTGATATCGATGGCGGGAGAATGGCTGACGGCCACGGCGAATACCAACATGTTCACCTACGAGATCGCTCCGGTGTTCATATTGATGGAGAACGTCGTGATGACGCACATGAGGGAGATTATCGGGAGTAGTTGGAGGGACGGCGACTCCATATTGGCTCCAGGTACGTAAAACAAAATTGTTCGACGAAAAGTATGATGTAATTTATTAAGAATTCGTAAAAAAAATTGACAGTATCGTAAATTCTTAAAAGATTTTCGAAAAATGTCTTTTCTGAAGTTTTGAAAACTGCAGTGTGTTTCACATCTTTCCAGCAGTATTATTTGACGAGAACACGGTAAAAACGATCTAAGTCACATCGAGCAAGTTTTTGAATAAAACAGTTGCAAGTAGCCTGTCATTACATACTGAAACCAATATATTGATTGAAGTCTCATTAAAAAATAGAACAATCATAACAAAAAAAATAGAAATACTTAAAAAATATGAAAAAAACTATCCAACAAATTTTGTTTTAGATAAAACAGTTTCAAGTGCCCTGTTATTACATACTGAAACCAATGTAATCTTGGTCTGATTGATGTTTCAACAAAAAATGGAGCAATCACTCCAAAAAAAAAATTACCTCAAAAATAGAATAGAAAAATATGAAAAATCGATCTAACAAATTTTGTTTTGGATAAAACAGTTTCAATTGTCCCATTACTACATACTGAAACCAATTTAATCTTTGTCTCATTGATGTTTCAACAAAAAATAGAGCAACAATTAGAAAAAAAAAACTAAAAAATAGAACTACCTAAAAAATATGAAAAATTGATCCAACAAATTTTGTTTTGGATAAAACAGTTTCAAGTGTTCTGTTATTACATAATGAAACAAATATAATTTTATCTGATTGATGTATCAACAAAAAATAGAGCAATCATTACAAAAAAAACCTAAAAAATAGAACTACTTAAAAAATATGGAAAAACGATCCAACAAATTTTGGTCTGTATAAAACAGTTTCAAGTGTCATGTTATTACATACTGAGGCCAATATAATCTTTGTTTGATTGATATCTCATTAAAAAATAGAGCAATCATGACAAAAAAAATAGAACTACTTAAAAAATATGAAAAAAAAACTATCCAACAATTTTTTTTTGATAAAACAGTTTTAAGTGTCCTGTTATTACATACTGAAACCAATATAATCTCGCTCTGATTGATGATTCAACAAAAAATAGAGCAATCATTACAAAAAAAAAATAAAACTACTTAAAAAATATGGAAAAACGATCCAACAAATTTTGGTCTGTATAAAACAGTTTAAAGTGTCATGTTATTACATACTGAGGTCAATATAATCTTTGTCTGATTGATGTTTTAACAAAAAATAAAGCAATCATTGCAAAAAAAACATAAAAAATAGAACTACTTAAAAAATATGAAAAATCGAACCAACCAATTTTGTTTTGGATAAAACAATTTCAAGTGTTCTGTTATTACATACTGAAACAAATATAATCTTTGATTGATGTTTCAGCAGAAATAGAGCAATTATTGCAAAAAAAAACCTAAAAAATAGAACTACTTAAAAAATATGCAAAATCGATCCAAATAATTTTGTTTTGGATAAAACAATTTCAAGTGTCCTGTTATTACATACTGAAACAAATATAATCTTTGTTTGATTGATGTTTCAGCAAAAAATAGAGCAATTATTGCAAAAAAAAACCTAAAAAATAGAACTACTAAAAAAATATGAAAAATCGATCCAACCAATTTTGTATGTGATAATTTGGCTTTTAACTTTTTTATGTCTTCCTATAAAGCCTTTAGTGACCCAATTAAAATCAAAAGTCAGAGAAAAAGTTGTAATTAATAGCATACCAAATAAGAGCTGAAAAAATTCAGTACCGCACATTATAAAAATTTCTATGAGAAACAACATAAATAATATTATAACTAATTTCAACGACGACTCTGAAAAAGAAACAGAATTAGATTTAGAAATTTAGAATAAAAATGTCATTTTGTATAGATATTAGTAGCAATGAACTTATTGTATGTTGTTTTTTCTTAGTGTAATTTGATAATATTATACTAGTACCAAAAACTTTGAAAGTCCGTCCCTTATGATCTGTCTTTTAAAATTCAAAAAATTAATATATAAAAAGTGTTTTCGTAACATAGATTTACGGTTACGATTGCTGACTTTTATATTTCGGGATTTTCTTAAACTAGTACTGCCATCTGGCGACCAACGTTTTTATGGGGAAGTTTGACATTTTGAGGTTATGTTTACTCATTTAAGTTTTGGCGAAAGAGTGCTGTTTGTGTTTTTTGTGATAAATTAAAAAAATTGTGACGGTTAAAAATGGAACTTAATCGGGATCATTTTCGTGCAATAACTTTTTACAACTTTAGACGTGGACTAACTCAATATCAGTGCATCGATGAACTTAATTCGACTTCGACGAGTTAAAGCACCATCTAGGACTACCGTTTATCGCTGGTTTTCGGACTTCAGTAGTGGTCGTAGTTTTCTTAAGGATGAATTTCGTGAATGTCTTCCAAAATGCAGGATCGTCATGTGACTTAGCATGAGACTGAGGTATCTTTGGGCATTAGTGGGACCAGCATACATATATTTTTGCACGAACATTTGGTCGCTAAAAAAAATTGTTCGCGTTGGATTCCACACAATTTGACAGCCCTCAAAAAGTCTCGTGTTGAGCGGTCAAAGGAAATGCTAAAAAAATACTATCGGGGTGCTATGATATCGTGTCAGGTGATGAATCATAGCGGCTGTCGACTGGGTGTGTCTTTTAGAACGAGACAAAGCTCACAAACCACCTTTGAAACAAATCGTAGCCTTTTTTTTCAGAAAAACTGGCCACGTTGCCATTGTTTCTTTGGTGAAAGGAAAAACAGTCAATTCTGAATGGTACACGACCATTTGGTTGCCGAAAGTCTTCAAAGAAGACGACGACAATGCTAGCTCTCACCGATCGGTGCAAACAAAGAACTTTTTGAGCATTAAAAACGTTGATTTGATGAGCCGTCCACCATATAGTCCTGATTTAGCACCTAATGATTTCTTTTTATTCCCATACAGAAGAAGCGATTGATGCGTTTAAAAGGCATGTTTTGGAGGTGCCCGGTTCGATGTGGGAAAAGTGATGTGATGATTGGTTTTATCGAATGCAAAAGTGACTGAAATTTTGAGAAACAATAAAATCATAATTGTTGGTACTTTATAGTTTTTTTATTCTTATTATATATTATTATTTATGATAATTATTTTATAATAATCATACAAAAGATATTCTTTTACCCACAGACCTATAAAAAATACAGGATACCTCTCGTCACACCTAACGAAAAATTAAAATCAACGACTTTCCAGGTGGTTCCATATCGAACCTGTACGCTTTCCTAGCCGCGAGACACAAGATGTTCCCGAATTACAAGGAAAAGGGCATCGCGACCATACAAGGCCAACTAGTCATGTTCACGTCCGATCAGGTATGTTTCTTTTTGAAGTCGCCCTAAGAAAATATCAATTTCCTTTATTTCGTAACACGCGGATAAGTCCGACCCAATAATGCGTCCATTTCCGGCCCTTTAAGGAGCAGCGGAGTATAAAACTGGAACGAAAGTTTCACCGATCAATCTTATTCCCGCGCGCTATCCCGGCCGGCGGTGATGCGGAACTTTTAAAAAGTTTGAACGGTATTTTATGTCGGCAACATGTTTGGTTTCTAGTTGTTTTTCATGGAGGCGAGTTTTCTTGGTGCTTAAGTATGTCTCGCTCGCTGAACGATTTTGCTTTTTTGTCGCACTTGTCACTTCCGAAAAATCGAATTTTTCGCCGTTGGTACAGAAATGATCATCGTCGAAAAAATAAAATTGTCTATCCGTTCTCCGTTCTCGTCTTTTTGATTTCCTTTTTAACCCTCCACGAGATACATAAGCTTGTAAGAAATGGCCTCGATAAGAAGCCGGCATCCATCTTTTTTTTGCGATTTTCGACTGTTTTATGAACATTGCTATCAAACACGATAAATGTCCGAAATTTGAAGCAACTTCATATTTGGCACATATATGCAGTCTTATCCTGTGACGGAACTTACTAAAAATGGGGGGGGGGGTCCGGGAAGTATTAAAAAAAAATTGCGTGTGCAAGGGTCTATAAAAAACATCATTTTTTTCAAAAACCGTTTATAAGACCGAATAATTTTTGAACCAGAATACGCAGAGACTACGGCTCTATAAACTTTTATTCTTAACAATTTTTCAAAAATATACACGGTGCGCCGCAAATTCAAAAAAAAAATGACAAATGGGTCCCCCTGTTATTGAAAATTGGCAATAATTTAAAATCTTCGTTTTAGATGACGATATAGCCCATACAAACAGCTAGAATTTTTGTATTTAGGATTTTTTAAGTATTATACAGGGTGTTCGCGATATTCCATGCAATATTAAGAAACACAATAAGTGTCCGACTTCAGACTTGGGAGAGAAATAGAAGTCTGGACCCGCATTTAGACTCTTTAAATTGGAAACAATAAAATAAAGCGAAGTGTTTTGTTTTAATTTTTGAATTTTTTTTTGGTTATTTGGGCATCCGGAAAAACATCTTTTCCTCCAAAACCATTGATCCGTTCCTAAAAATTTTACAACCGTAATACGTGCGAGACCCGGCGCTATAACTTTTGTTTCACGAATCGGTCTGAGTGCGTAGATTTTCTTTAAACACAATGACCCAATGTTAGGTCTGATTTTCTATTGATAAGAATATATAAGAATGGGAGGTTGTTATTAGTTTCTAATCGAATGGTAAAACTTATGTTAGAGTGTATAGAGTTTAAATGTCTAAGAAAATAGGGATTCCTGACCATGAGGCCAAGTAACAAACCATAATTTTGGTTTTAGATGGAAGCTGTCGCGAGCTTTTTTCTCAAAGGCTCCGATAAATATATTCGCGATGACTGTTGATAGTGGAGAACCCATAGATGTTCCCGATGTTTGTTCAAAAATTTGATCGAACTTAATAAAAAATAAAATAAAAAACAAAATTTCTTATGGCCGTGATAGTGCGCCTTTTGTGATATTCAAAAAGTGTGCCGACTATATCCTGAGTCCGTTGACCTCCCTGATAAATGCATCATTAACAGAGCGAGTTTTTCCTACAGCCCTGAAAGGTTCGCGTGTGGTTCCCATATTTAAAAAGGGCGACAGGCATTCTGCAGAAAATTATCGTCCAGTAGAAATCGCATCATGCTTTGCCAAAATATTTGAATACGCTATTTTTGACCGCTTGACCGATTATTTAAGTAAAAACAAAATTTTGTCTGAAAAATTGGTTAAGGCTTTCGCGGCCCGTTGATAAGCTATTATCTTCATTCGGGTTTAAAGGCCGTCGTCGATTGGAATTACTTCCTAACGTTTCGCTAGCACGAGTGGCGAGCTTCTTCAGAGGTCCTTCCATCTCCGATGTTGGACGTAGACTAACGATTTCTCCTGCGCAGGTTGTATTTATGCCGATTGGTGGAGGGCGGGGCTTGTTCCGCTTCGGTTGGTCTCGGGATATCGATCGGTACTGCTCGGGCGTTCCTAAGGATCGGGTTCCAGATTTGGTTGAGTCTAAGGGTCTCCTCCTTTCGGTTGAAATTGTGTGGGCGTTTTTGAATCTCAATGGCTTCCCTGACTAGTCTGTTGTGATAGCCGTTGACCGATGCTAGTAACTTACAGCTCTCAAAGTGTATCCTCTGTTCCCCGCTGCCCAGTGCGTGTTCAGCCACTGCAGACTTCTCTGTATGTCCTAGCCTGCAGCTTGCTTTATGCTCCTTAAGTCTCGTTCCCATTGATCTCTTGGTAGTTCCGATGTAGACCTTTCCGCATGAACACGGAATGCGGTAGACTCCCGCAGCTGAAAGTGAGCCCCTCTTGTCCTTCGCTGACCTGATGGTCTGCTGGATCTTCTTTGTAGGCTTAAAGATTGTTTTGATGTCGTGTCTTTTCAATACTCTGCCAATCCTGTCGGTGACACTCGGAATATACGGCAGATATGCGTGGGAGGTGGAGGGTCGTTGTTCGGTATCCCGTGATCTTGATGATCTTGAGTTCATTGATCTCTCGATCTCCCTCTTACTGTAGCCATTTGCCTCGAACGCAGTTTTTAGGTGTTCAAGTTCCATCTGGAGGTTCTCCGGTTCGCAAATCCTTAGGGCTCTTTCTGTCAGGGTTCTGATAACCCCATACTTTTGACTTGGGTGATGGTTGGATAGAGCATGCAAGTATCTGTCCGTATGGGTTGGTTTTCTGTAAACTGTGTGGCCCAGCTTGTTACCTCGCTTCCTCACTAGTACGTCCAAGAATGCAAGTTGTTGGTCATTTTCAGTCTCCATAGTAAACTGGATGCTGGGATGCTGACTGTTGAGATGCTGCAGAAAGTTGGGATATTTTGTTATCTTAGCAGGGCGTTTGACTGTATGAACCACGAGATTCTTTTGAATAGGATGGAACAATACGGAATTCGCGGAATAGCTCTGCACTATTTCAGGACTAGACTCCACGGAACCCTATCTTGGGAAACTCAATGCCAATATCAATGCAAACATCACTGACCACATATCAAAAAATCTGAAGAAATATACCGTCAAAACCAGATTTACCACTTATCCAAAGATCTCTCAACATCTTCGATCCGTCGAAGACGAATTTCCATTTGAGATGCCAGCATTCCATGCATATGCGGCAAAAAATTCATTGGAGAGACCGGACCTAAAATAGCAACTAGGCTCAAAGAACATAAGACTAAGACAAATAAACTCCTCAGCATTTGCCGAACAAAATCCGGACATAAAACCGGACATAAAATGTTATTCAATAAAACTAAAATTCTTGCATGTAACCAATGTTTCTACCAACGAAAAATCCGAGTCTATAGAAATATATAACCAACCTAATAATCTTAACCGCGACTCAGTCATCTGAGACGCTGTTTATGCCCTCGTCAGCAAGTTCAAGTCAACAAAAACCGACGCTGGAGGAATCCAGAAGTTACAGTGGCCCATGGAAGTTTCTTTTAAAAACTAACAATTCGCTTGAAAAAAAATCTCTCTGTGATACTGAGTTAGGCAAGATTTAGAGGTGGGCACTTGAACAATTGAATTGCCTCCCAAATCCTTTTTGCATAATGTTATAAATATTATTTTTGTATGTGTCACTTTACCTTTCAAGATGCAAGTGTTTTCGGAGCGCGAGCATTGAAGATGCCAAGTGAGATTTTGGCGAAACGTCTGCAGGATTCCAGTCGGATGCAAGATTTGCAAGATTCCAGTCGGAGTTCAAAGAGCGAACGGATGAAATCCCGGAATATAGTGTCATCATATATATATATATATATATATATATATATATATATATATATATATATATATATATATATATATATATATATATATATATATATATATATATATATATATATATATATATATATATATATATATATATATATATATATATATATATATATATATATATATATATAAAGTATATAAATGCTTCTATATAAAATATTTAATTTATATGTATGTGTGTATTTTAGATTCTTGATAAAGATGTGCAAAAATTTAAATAAAAAAAAGCTCGAACCGCTTTTAAAGTTCACTTACGATCTCACTTAATGAAAACTTTATTTCGATCTTAGAGCCACTACAGCGTCAAATCGTGCGCATCGGTTTGCGGATTGGGTACCGACAACTGCGTCATGGTACCATCGGACGAAGCGGGTCGAATGATCCCTAGGGAATTGGAAAAACTGGTCGTGGAACGCAAAGCGAAGGGTCACATCCCGTTTTTCGTGGCCGTCACTTCCGGTACCACCGTCCTCGGTGCGTTCGATCCTATCAACGAGGTTGCCGATATCTGCGATAAGTATGGGATGTGGCTTCACGTAGATGTAAGCTTATTGATAGTGGTTTTGATAAAAACGCTGAAATGTAATTAATTTCTCGAGGCTGCTTGGGGAGGGGGCCTTTTACTGTCCAAAAAGTACCGCCACCCTAGATTAAGTGGAGTAGAAAGGTGAGTAACATCCTAGTTATTGTAGTAGTAGTAGTGATGATTGCTGAAGAATTTTCTCATCTGTAATAGTTTCACGTTATTATTAATTTTATTATCAACTTTACGGACGGTATAGATTAGGCGTTGACCTTTCTGGAATTACGTCATTTTGGTTTATTATCGTTTAATCTATGTCAACTGACAGTGACAAAAAAATGAAAAAAGTCATTGTCGTTTCTTTATAAATAACCATTCAAACGAAATGAATCTGGTACTTCTAGATGAAACCGAGAGCATCAATGAAGAAAATCATAGCTGTGTCACGTGATTTATAAGAGCCTTTCTTGTTACTTGCCAGATCCTATGAATACGACTTACATAAATATGGTTCCAGACTGTTAACAAAGGTCTAAATTGAAAGTAAATAAAAATAATTGAACAACCGTGATATTAAGGAGCTGTGGTTTCAACAAGAGGGCCGTTTAAATATGCGAAGTCGCTTGTCTAAGTCCGAAATGATTGACCATTTGACCACCAGATTAGACTACGTCCGAGCCAGCCGTGTGCTATAACTCCAGAAGAGAATCTCTAGAATGTCAACCTAAAAAAATCATCTGTGCCTTATTCATTTTCAAAGTTCTATGCTCCTAAGAAAACACCCGTCACTACTATTTTTGAAAATACCGACAATTGTTATTATCGCCTCACCGAATCCATATTACGGGAACCGCTTTAGTTCTATAGATGCAGTTCACTCTGGCAAGGTTGGACTGATTTTAATCAACTGAATGACTTGATTTTTTAAAATCAAACTCCAATTTTTTTAAATGCTTTTTTATCGAGACATGCAAAACCAAAAACGCCGAAATTCTATTCTACTGATGCTGAGGAAGCAGTTTCACACAGGAACTGTTTTATTATTGGTAGCTGAGAATACTCAACAATTTGGACTGGTATTTGTAAGTATTTGCACATCAAATTCAAAATACGTGCAGAGCAGCCATAAATTTTAACTTTTGAATCGGTCTTTTCCTCCGAAGTTTTTCTCAGGAGACCATATTTGCTACATTATCTGTCACAAATGATTTTACACAAACTACTTCAGGGAAATATTGTGAAGGTTTCCAGGAGTATCAATAGTTTCGTAAAGAAGCTCTCGTTCATCTTCAGCTGTTGACGTTCGCATTACGAAACTACTCAAATTAGGCTGATTTTTAGTTTTTTTTCCTTTGTTTGGAATTTGAGGAAATGTGTCGTGGAACTCGAAGCAGACGATGTAGTGGCAAGATCCACAGAACTGTGAAGCGACATTCGAGTGCCTAATAAGAAAATAGAACCTTAAAAACATAATTTATACATTTATACCATTGTTAATAAACGATAAACCAAATACGCACTCTTCCTTTAAAAAATAGTAAAGGGTTTATTCGATTTTATTAATTTATACGGTTAAATACGTTAAAAATCGTGTACATTCTTTCCTTAGATAAAGAAATTATACGATATAAATACATTAACGTAAATAAAATATGCAGAAATTCAAATTTTGCCAAAAAAAAAGACAAAAAGGATATTGAACTGAGGAGGCTTTTACTTGATGAAAATTCATTTAACAAAATAATAATAAAATTTTCACGAAATTATATAATTTCACATGACAATTGTTTTGACAACACCGTGTCTATCACATTTAATAAATACACGGTGTTGTCATGTCAAAATATATAATTTCGTGAAAATCTGAACTTTTATTTCTTATTTGTTTTGCAAAAATGATAAATGCCTTAATCCTTCTGAAAACGTTTTTGTAAATATATAATAAAAATGAAATAAGTAATATTAAAACATCATTTTTCTACTCCCTTCTGTAAAATACCCAATTATATACCGATCTAGTGTGCGGGAAGCGTCAGTTTACCACGTCAGTTTCGTTTCGCACGGATCCGAGCCATTTCGGACATTTCCGAGATTTTACCGCACGCCTTGAATTTTCAAGTTGTATGTTTCAATGTATTCGTGTTGTTTTGCGAAAATGTACTCAAAAACTAACGGTCGTAGAAAAAGTATAGTATGCGACACGTTCGGAAAACTTTTTAACTCGCTCCGATCGTGACAAATAAACTCTCGAGTCAAATACCGTTTACCGCACTTGTTGCATAATATACTATTACCTACCTGTATTCGTTTCTTGCTGCTTATTGTCACAAACATCATGGTGTGTATGTGTATGTGCCGTATGTTTTATTTCTTTTCTTCCAGCCATTTAAATTTTTTCACCTAATGCCTTATTTTCCACTAGTTCCACTCCTTTGACAAACCACCAAAATAAGTGAGACGTATTCGACAACGACAACCCATAGATCGGGGAAAAAACAGGTCGCGACAGAAATTTTCTTGAAAAAAGCGTCTTCTTACGAATACTTAGTGTGTGTATTGTACTATGTTGTTCATAGTGCCTTTAAAATATTTTGTAATTGTTTGCAAAAAAAAAATGGAAATACATTTTCTTAAGAAATAAAAAAAAGTCAATTCAAATTTTTAAAATCCAAAAATTATCGACTTTTTCAAAAAAAAAAAAACATGATTGTTGATTTTTTTAATAAAAATGAAAGTTTGGCCAACACCGCAATCTGGTAAAGTTAAAGCTCTCAAGTTCTGTGGGCAAAAAAAATATTGCTAGTGCTGTAATTTTCGGAAATGATGCGTAAGTTTAAAATTCAAAAAATCAGCTCTTGTTAACAATTGATGATACTCCCTTCCAATTTCTTTGATTCTAAACTAATCTTAACTTAAGTTAAACTTAAAAAAGCTTATGTAGGTAACTCTAAAACTAATTTAATCTTATAGTTACTACTTGTTAGTTGTCTCAGCTGAACCACTGTTCTAGTGTTTGCAACCCTTGCCTTAACGAAGTCGATAAAAGACGAATCCAAAAACTTCGAAACGGAATTCAAAGACGCCAAACAATTTCAATTTTGTTTCGAACTCCTGGTTGGCTCAATATGCATATGGCGTCTTTTTATTTCAAGGTCATTAAAAATAAGTCAGGAGGTATTTAAATGAGCATTTTCTTGCAATGCTTCTTCACTAGTTAACTCACTGGACTAGTGTAGTCTCGGTGGTGCCTGCCATGCATTTAGAACTTTTAGTTGTAGTCTACTCCAACGTCAAGAGTAATATTTTGCAGTACTTGTCCATTTTTTTTTAAACTTCTCCTTTTTCTTATCCTTTATTTACTTGCTATATAAGGCTTATTCTTTGCCATCTGGAACAATAATTTTTCTTTTTAAATAAGGCTCCAACAGTATCTAGGTTTTTCCTGGATAGCTGCTATTTATTTCAAGCCTTTTGCTGCATGTTTTCCTAATTTACTTACGCTTATGTATATCTATTGTAATTTTTCATGCTGTTAACAATACACGTATTTATAATAATAATAATCATAATAATAATAATCATAAACTGTCTTTATTGACAATCATAATATTACAATATAAGTTATAATACAAGAGTGGCGACATCACCAACACCATAATTATCAACAAAATACATACCCCTATATACGTCGAAAATACAAGAAATATACTTTCAAAAATACTCCAATATAAGTAACAATACAAGTGTGGCGACATTCGCAATTTGTGCTCTTCCATGTAACCACAAGAACACAACACCATACGAGGGCAGCGCCAAAATTTCCCGACCTGAATATGAAAGAAACAAAGTAGAGTAACAATTTTTTATTATTTTTCAATATAATCCCCCTTAAAAAAAAATTAAAAAATGAAAGGGCAGTACCTTTCACCCCGAAGAATGTCAGTTTAGCTAGGAGAAGAATATGATCCAACGTGTCGAATGTTTTGCTATAGTCCAAGAGTACGAGACAAAAGTCTAATTTAGAATCCTCTCCTCTCAACTGACGAAGTTGTTTACCTGCAATTTTTTCAAGAATCTCTCAAATCTATTATTATTTTTCACAAAACTTCTAGATTACTCCTGCGTCGGTGTTTGTTGTTGAAAAAAAAGGTATTTATTATTGTTATTATTATTAAAATCGTTAAATCCGAGTCTCAAAGATGACATTTTTTGCAGCCAGATATAATACGATAGGGTCTTTCGTCGCCCCTGCCGAATAAACTGTAAAGTGGGCATCAATTTGCATTTTGGACTATTTACGATTTAAAATCCGCTTCGCCAGTGTGTCGAAGTGTCAAAAGCACTCCCGGGATCCGCCGCGATTGACTTAAAAGTTGAGGATTACGGTAGGGGCCTTTTCAATACGTCCAGGGTGCTCCGCCGCTTTAGGATTGATTATTTTCGTTTTTTTTTACTGGTTTATTTTTTTTTATAAAGGATATTAATTAAATGTGTATATTAATTATAAATACAAGGTACAGGTACAAGTTAAACAGTGGGATAAACGCGCTGTTTTTTTTATACCTTACTATATAACAACTTTTAATATAATTCGTTTATTTAAAAAAAATAAAAGTGAAGACTGTTCATTATTTTCGAAGCTTCGGAAAGAATTTAAAGCAAGTAAAATTACTGACTGGAAAATAATATATTGAAAAGATTGAGGAAAATCGGAAAGCGGGCACAAAACATTTTTGGTCATTTTTTAATTACAAAAAAAAAACAAAATCACTGCCTGATAAATAATCACGACAAACGATTCGATGTCTCGATTTTTTGCGAGGACTATTTCAGTAGTGCGTTTGATCCGGGGTATAATCCGCCTCATATACGTTTTACCATTGAATTAGAAACTAATAATAATCTCCCATTCTTAGATATTGTTATCAATAGAAAATCAGACCTAACATTGGGTTATTGTGTTTACAGAAAACCTACGCACATAGACCGATACCTTAATACATGGTCACATCATCGGTTATCAACTCTCTTGATTACAGAGCCGTAAAACTATCTCAGCACGTGTCACTGAACCTTCTACAACCTTCCAATAACAATGAGACTGAAAGCATTCCTACACTTGCCACTGTGGTCCTCCCTTACAT